TACATGTCACAAATCAATATTACTACCATTAACTAATTTTTGCAGTGAAAAAAGCCATTAATATCTGGCATGCATGATGTGGGATAAATCAGGCTACTAACTGTGCTCCTGTAGGTGGAAGGGACGGCTCCTCCTGAAGATGAATCTTAATTGTTCTTTCATTAAAAAGGTCTACAATCAGCATAAGAAGAAGAAAGGAAACTGTAATACATTATATATGTATAATAAGACCTTTTAGTTATTGTCAGAAACTTCAATCTTTGTTGAGTACGAACTCTTTGAAACTAACAAAGACATGGTGGTTTTTAAACTCTGAATACTCAAGCCTGGTTGAAAGGAAACAAACCTCTCCTACACAAAGCAATAGCTGATGCTCTACGTTAGTACCTTGACCTTCATATTCTTCACTGCTGAACCCCAAGAATAGTGGCTTGTCTTGCTGATCATTCCTTTCTGAAGTGTTAGTTGGGTATTCATCAGCTGAATATATGGAAGGCCCATTGTTTTCTGAGCTGTTGTACAATAACAGTTGGAGAGTGGCATGAGAAAAAAGAATATAATCAGTTACATATCATAAACATACAAATAAATAAACAAATGTTGTTTACACTATATATACATTCCAGCAAAATCAAAAAGCAGAAAATTGTAGTCAACATTCTTCCCAGCTGAAAACATGAAAAATATGAACAAAACATTCACAAATCTTCACATCCTAAGGTTTTTTAATCAATATCTGCATAGAAAATAATACAAAGTTATTGAGTTATTATTAAAGTGGTCATCCAACAATTTTTGGTTGAGATCTGAACTCAGTCATTCAGAGTGAAACGCTCTGTTCTAGAGAAACTTACCGATTACTCTAAAATGGTGGTGATAGGAACCAGGGGTGGTGATGTCTACAACGCAAATATAGCCTTTTTATTTACTATCCAAAACCACCAGTGAACCTACATGAGTTTTAATATGTTATGCCGATAATGGTAAAATAGTGGTAAATATGAAACAACTGTATTACAATGCCCTGCATGTACGTCTTCACCTTGATTGGATTTTAAAAATACTTTTTAGGACCTTCTCAAAAATATCTTAAAATATTGTCTCAGGCATCAGGCAGGGTATTTGTAACCACTTCATGTAATAACTTTCTGTGAGGGAGCTTTTAGAGACATCACTGTGAACAATTCTGGCTCAGTAAGTTTCTCTAAAATGGAATATTTCACATCAAGCCACTCGGAAAAACTTTGTTTACATCCTAACCATTTTGCAGAAATTTTGAAAAGCCGATGGAATCCCCCTTTAAGTGATAGGGCTGTACGTTAGAAATCTGGGCCTGTTGGCAGACTGCATGTGGATCCATGAATGTTAAGGGCTTAAAAAACCTTTACATGGTATGTTTGTGGATACCTATGTAAGGTGCTTCCAAACTGGGCTCCAGCTGCTGGGCTGATCTGAGCAGGCTGTGTTTGATGAGGCACAGCTGTCCATGGATCATACATACATACCCCCATTGGCTTGGAGAAAGGTGTAAACTAATAGGAAGAACAACTTTTGGTAGGAATGATTTTAAGATTAACATCTAGCATTTTTACGTCATCAAAATGATGCATCTGAATGTGTGGGACCTCTGAGCATTTACCTGAGAGGTTGTTGTGCAAGAGGGCTCCCATGAAGGCGGAGAGGAGATGTGGGATGTGGATCTGGACTGAAAGGCCTCTGAAGGGGTTGGGGAGGCTGAAGAGAAGGAACTGACACTGCCCTGATGATGGTGGTGTCTTTGCTTATAGTCTGAAGCACTGTTGTCAGACTGGTTGGCTTCCAACACAGGTGAGAGCTTTGAAGAGATAATAATAATAATAATAATAATAATAATAATAACTAAACAATAATAATAGATAGATAGATAGATAGATAGATAGATAACCTTACTTATAATAGACTTTCATACTTAAAATGCAGCATACATAAAAAGTGCTTTACAAAGAAAACACCATACAATAAGGGAAAAATAAAAAATAACATTAAAATAATAGTAGAAATTGAGTAAAACAAGGAATTAAAATATAATTAAATAAACAATCAGAGTCACTAAAATGACAGCAACTGGAAAATTGCCCTCACCACCTTAAACTTGAACTCTTCCAGGAGACTCTGTTTTCTCTTTTTCAAACCCACCGTGTGGACACTGCAGGAACACAACAGGACAAAGTCTCAGCTTGGTTTGTAGGTCATCTGAGCCTGTACTACAGCTGGAACACTCAAAGTGAATGGTACCTGTAATGGGGCTCACTTTGTACCAGGCTCAAGCGTGACGGAGAACAAGGACTCATTGGCAGGTCTAAGGGCCCCTGACCCATACATTTATGAGTTCCTTTCAAACTGGTCAGATGAGCTATTTTAGGTTTACCTACAATTAAAATTATGTAATTTATCCGGAAATGTCAGGCAAACAACAAAAAACATTTTTATCTTCTTTCTTCCTGTAACATGCACCATGCATTTACCAGTGTGTTCTTTCTTTAATGCAATCTGGTTGACAATAAACATTGTAAGCAGATCTATGTTGCCAGCGTTGCCTTCCTTAGGTGATGCTGGTGGTTCCAGATGATTCAGCCTCTTCTGTATCCTTTTCTTTTCAAAAAACTCCTTATAGGCATTAATAGACATTCTGTTAGCAGAACAGATGATAAAGTTAACGCTGCCTAATAAATGAATTATTAGAAACATTATTACTCACCTTTTGTTTTTTCACATCACTGCTCTTCATAAAGCGGCTCCTGTAAAAATAAGGTGAGTCAGGTCAGTTTATGAAGCGCTACACAATGTATGTTGGGTACATATATTTACATACATTTTTGAAGCATTAGGAGTACAGAACACTGGAAACAAGGTGATGCACTGAATTTACTTGAATTAAATATATAGCCATGAATACAAAATATTACATCAACACAACTGAAACTTTAGATCACTTATTTTAGGCAATAACTGTGCAATATCAGTCATATATTCATAAGGAAAAGATGGAGGTATACTGATTATATCTCCATCATCTAATGATTAGATATAAGGATTTTTTCAGCAGGGAGTTTATTCTTAAGTCCATTGATTTCAACATCTTTCTGCAAATCTCCTATGCAATTAATATCCAAGAAGTTGTTAGACAGATAACAGCTAATTATATAGCTATAATGATAGATATCTAAGTTGGTTAGCTAAGGTCGTTTGCACTGCTCTTTATAAACTGGCTGCTCAAATATGAAGATGATTCAGGAGTTAAGGTAGTTCGTTAATGGAGTGCTAACTTGCCCAGCACATATTGGTTTGTTAAATACTTAGCTAGCTACGACAACAGCTTGATAAACAAAGAGAATAAAAGCTCTGCTCAGAGCTAACTACTCTAACAAACCGCAGATATTAGCAATATTATCGCTTGTTAGCTGTCAGCAAGTTGTTATCTTACCGTGAGCCTCCCATCCAGTTCATGTCAGAGAATTAGACAGATAAATAGATCAGTACAATAATAAATAAGTTCTTTGTTTAACTGTAGGTAGGTAATATTGCAGTGAGTGTGTTGTACAGTTTCAGTAAGTAATCTTATTTTCCCGTTTTAATGGTCAGTACAGGTCAGACGTTGCTGTTTATCTTAGCAGCAGTTAACGTTATTAAACAGGCTAAAGGTGCCGTCAGCCAATCAGCGAGCGTCAAATACCCGCGAGCAACTGGCGCGAGCGTGTGAGCAAAAACTCTCAGTGCTGAGAAATCCGTATTTTTAAAATAATTCACTCAACAAAAAGAAAAAATGTGGGCACACAATGGTTTGATTGCAGTGTAGTTAAATGTTGAATTTGTATTTGAATGTGGTTTATTAAATTTACTTAATTCAAATCTGAACAGAGTGTACCGCTGTAGGCTGGTCAGAAAATGACTGCTTTGTTTTGATTTTGCTCAAATGCTCCATATTAACCCTATTTGATTTTGGACTCGCTCGGGAGCGCCCTCTAGCGTCTGACAGACCCAGAAGACAACTGATAGTATAAAAGTTCATGACACTTCACACACATTAATGCCGCTTCGTTAATTAAGAGTATAGAATTGCCACCAGATCTGAAAGTGAGCTGAAAGCCATGGAACACTGAACTATTACAATATTAGGTTATTATATTAGGCTGTTACATTATCATATAATATTACCTGACACATTCCCTGAGTGAGAATCGGATTGAAAAATGATTTGTTATCAATCTGTTAAGAAACTGTGAGAATATTTGGTTCCATTTCTTATTGAATGGGGTCTTGAACTGGCTGACTTAAGGTCATGGTCAGCTATTTATGAGGGGTTACGAGGTAAAATTTGAAGCCCTTCAGCCCCTGTGTGTTGTGTTGGCACTGGTGGTCAAACACAGCAAGAGCAAAAATCGGGCACTATCATGTCACCGCAGCAGCCAATCGCCTCTACGTTGGGCGTGGTTAACGGGAAGAGCCCTGATTTGCATTAACCACGCCCCTTGGAACGCAACCGTTTGAATATGTTTGAAAAAAATGTGTGCATCATTGTCTTTTAGTTTACGTAATTCTAATACAATATGTTTGTGTATCTATTAGCGTGGACTGGAAGACCACTACAATAAATACTGCACTGAAAAATGCTTTTTTTAATTTACTTAATTCAAATATGTACATCAGCACCGTATAAATGAAATGATTGCTAAAAATGAACAAACTATAAAAGAATAATTCATCATTTTCAAACAAGTAAATTAAAAAAAATACATCAAGTCTTAAGTGAGACAATTAATGTGTTTTATGTGCTCGTTAGAATCAGTCTAAGCGCTGCACCTTTTTTCAGTGCAGCAATCAACCCAAGGGGCGTGTCCACTGCTACAGCAACAACCAATCCGTGCTGGAGGAGGCGTGACCACAGCTAAAACGTCAGCCAATCCCAATGACGGACAGATCTGATGCTGGCTCTGCTGCTTTTCAGTGATGTGACCGCTCCGAAGACTTTGTGATCACTGCTTCTGCTCGACCTGATGGACAGCACAAAAACAAGGCAGCGAACTGTAAAAAATAAACAAACAAAACAACTGAAAAAAGCGTCCAAAGAGGTTCATGTGCTCGTTTGAATCAAGTTCAAAGCACTGCGCCTCGGGGCGCGGCCGCTGCTGAAGCAGCAACCTATCGCCGTTCACGTGGGCGTGGCCAGCGCTACAGCATCAGCAAAACGGACGGATCTGATGCTAGCAGTGCTGCCGGTGAACTGATGTGCCGAAAATGACTGCCTTGCAGAATCTGTGATCGATCTGGTGGCCTTTTGCACGACCTGATGGATGCGGTGTAGCGGAAACCTGTCAGAAAACGACCGGAAAATCACAAAATGACCAACATACTGCACGCGGCGTCCAAGGTGAGGTGGACTAAGAGCACTGCGGCGAAGCGGGCCGTGTTTCTGGTGGCCGCTGCGTACGGAGCCAAGAGCCTTTACCCGCTCATCATCAAGCACATCGGCCGGAAGGCCGGGAGCCATGCGGCCGGGAAGGCGGAGGCCAACGGGCTGTCATCCGTACTCGATCCCGCGAATGTTCAGGCTACTCCCGGCGTGAACGCGCAGTTCGTCCGCCAGATCCTCGCGCTGGTGAAGATCGTGTTTCCCCGGCTGCTCACCAGGGAGCTCGCGCTGCTCTGCCTGCACTCCGCGGCTCTCGTCTCGCGCACGTTTCTCTCCATCTACGTGGCCGGGCTGGACGGCCAGATCGTGAAGAGCATCGTGGAGAAGCGGCCTCGCAGCTTCGCCGTCAAGCTGATGAAGTGGCTCCTCGTCGCCATCCCGGCCACCTTCGTGAACAGCGCGATCCGCTACCTGGAGGGCAAGCTGGCCCTGGCCTTCCGCACGCGCCTGGTCGAGCACGCGTACAGGACCTACTTCACAGAGCAGACCTACTACAAAGTCAGCAACATGGATGGCCGGCTGGCCAACCCGGACCAGTCTCTCACGGAGGACGTCATGATGTTCTCCCAGTCCGTGGCGCATCTGTACTCCAACCTCACCAAACCCATCCTGGACGTGATACTCACTTCGTACACTCTCATCCAGACCGCCAGGTCCCGGGGGGCCAACGCCACCGGCCCCACGCTGCTGGCCGGACTCGTAGTCTTTGTCACTGCCAAAGTGCTGCGAGCTTGCTCCCCTAAATTTGGCAAACTCGTGGCCGAGGAGGCGCACAGGAAGGGCTACCTGCGTTACGCGCACTCGAGAATAATCACCAATGCGGAGGAGATCGCTTTCTACAGAGGCCATCAGGTGAGTGGACAGGGAAACATCATTCCTTAAACAGCCCAGTTCCCAGTGTCAGGATCCATGCTCTGCACAGTTTTGTCTTTCCCCAGTTCTAATAAACCACACTTTAAAAAGATGGTTCTTAAGTAAGGGCAGTTGTTCTATTTGGAACCATGAGTTCTACATACAGTCATTTCATGCCTAGATGGTTCTTTGCAAGGTGAAATGGTTCTTCAGACTGATGGAGAAAGTGTTGTATATGGTTCTATATAGAACCTTTTTGAAAATGGTTCCATACAGCACCAAAAAGGGTTCTGCTATTGATACAATGTCTTAACAATAGCAGAACCCTTTTTACCGTTCCCTTTACTAAAGAACCAATGAAGCACTACTTTTTTAAAGAGTGCATCAATCTGAAGAGCCATTTCACCTGGCAAAGCACGTTTAAGCATGAGATGGTTCTGTATAGAACCCTAGAACAACAGTTATAGTATAGAACTATATATATGTGATGTGCATATTCAGAGACATTATAAAGGTCTGTAAGCTTTTATTGCCCCACCTGACTAACTTTTAGTGATGAATAGTTCGATTCAATTTACCGATCCGATTCTTTTGAACTCTCCGTTCAAATGAATCTAACGTTAGATTCATCGATTCGCTTTTGATCCGAGGTTCGTTTTCATTTTGGCTGTTAAAGAGGTCGTTAAAGTAGACAGTGATGTCTTAGGCAGGTCTACAACGCAGTGGCTGTGATTGGCGTTTTCGTTCATAAACTACCTGAGAGTCAAGGTTTGATTCAGTTTGAACTCAAAACGATTTAACGGTGAACTAGTGAATCATGAGTAGGCCGAAAATAATATCAAAAGTAACGCAGCTTATAGTAGATGATGGACGGTAATGAGTTTAGTCAGATGCGGAGATACACATAGCCTGAACAACGGAGAAGGCAAGCTAGCTTATCGAACTGGATGCTTCCGACTCAGTTGAAAGAGTCATTTAGAAAGATCGGTTCGTTGGCGAGTCGCCGTCCATCGCTAGCAGTTGGCTGTATGCCTGCGTGCTTGAACGCATGGTTCCTCAATGACATAATGACTGAAGCAGCACAAAAAGTAGGTTGGCAACTTCAGTAAAAAAAAAGACATCAGTTCCCAAAACTGCAGTGGAGCTTCTTAGTACTTCCAGCATTGATCAGGATAGTTTGTAAAGTTTGTTAAGTGGTGGTCTTTTATTTTTGGCCTAAAATAAAATGTTAAACCTCCAAAGTGAGAGGTGTGAGCAACTGTAAAGCAGTTCAGGAGCTGAACCAACAGAGCAGATTATACTTGAATAAAAAAAGGAATTGTTCATTGTAAATGTGATGGGCTAAAATGGAGCTAAGTGAAGAAAAACACATTCCCTTCCAAATATACTTGTATCATTATCTGGAAATACAATAAAGTAAACAAGCACAAGCGCATGTAAATTGTACATAAATATAGGAACTAAGTAAATGTAACTGGTAACTGCCTGACTGGGTTACATAGTCCTGACATAATGAATCTATGACCAGTTCGCATCTTTGTATCATTGCAATAAATAGTTTTTCTGCCCCTCACTGTAACTGTTTTGCCATATACCTGAATAACATTTTAATGACATTATAATGATATGATTATAATTGATTTTTTTCTTGTTAAATGGGACAGGTGGAGATGAGGCAGCTGCAGAAGTGCTACAAGGCCTTGGCTGAGCAGATGAACCTCATCCTGTCCAAGCGCCTGTGGTACATCATGATTGAGCAGTTCCTCATGAAGTATGTGTGGAGTGGATGTGGCCTTGTGATGGTTGCTGTGCCCATCATCACTGCTACTGGCTTTGCTGACAGTGGTAAGCAGTAGCAGTCCGCAGATCATGAATTTTAATGGCCAGTTCTAGTTTTTTTTAGCCAAATTGACAGACAGACTTTTTTTTAACTCGAAGCTCAGCCTGTGTGGCCTAAATTAACACAATAAACAGATGAAAGAGCAGCACTCAAATACAGCGTGGGTGCATTTATCTGTCTCATGGTATGGACCTCATAATATTGCTACACAGATTAGCCATATTAATAATAAACTGGGCGATTGCATGTTTGGAGCCAAAATCCAAATTCCAATACTGGCCTAATCTGATTGTACCTCTTTAGAAATAAGTGTGATTTCACAAATCTGTTCTTTTAGGTATTTTCTGTGCAAACTAACACCATTTTCATACACATAACCTGAACAATGGAAGGTTAGCTAGTTTATCAAGTTTGATTCTTCTGAATCACTTCACAGACTCATTTAAAAAGATTGATTCATTGACAAATCAACCATGACTAGCAACGTGCTAGAGCATGGCAGTCTAAAAACTTCCCAAAATAAATATATTGTTACATAAGCCCAAAAACTCCTCAGTAGTATTAGGTTATTTCAGTAGTATTAGGTCACATATGCAGACTAATTGACCATTAAGTTTTATTGCACTTGTTTGTGGCTTGGGAAGACAGACTTCATTTGAATTTGAAATGATAGTACGCCATTAGCAGTCATCTTTAGCTTTACTGCATACGTGATAAAAGACACTCGGTGGGCATTATGCATTGTAGTCATCAGTCATTGTTGTTCCAGCCATCTGCCTGTTTTTTGCATTTCAATTCAGTTCTCTTCCCAGACATCTTCAAAGGAGTTTACCCCTAAAAGGGTTCAGACAAGTGGCCTTGTTAGTCATAAAGGAGGAATACTCCTAAAAATTCAGCAACTCTCAAGCGCTGAAGTGTGTGCTTCTGTAAAAAAGCTGATTGAGGTGTGAAACCTGACTCCTTACTTACAGAACTTGCTGATGGGCAAACTCAGGTGTTAGTGAGTGAGAGGACAGAAGCCTTCACGACTGCGCGCAACCTTCTGGCCTCTGGAGCTGACGCCATTGAGAGAATCATGTCGTCCTACAAAGAGGTAAAGCCCAAATACGTTCACATGTAGTGTTTCATGGTGAGGATGTGAAGGCCAGTGTTAGTCTTAGTCTCATTGGCCTACAGATGTAATCAAATGTAATATAATCAAAATTACAGCTTTGCAGTTTGAAAATTTCACTCTTTCAAATTGTGAAAAAAATCACGCTACACCAAAGTAGGCAGTGCTTCGTCACGTTAAGCAACAAAACACACCAGACTGCGAGTGGTGCGGTTCACATAAATTAAATGATAAAAATGTGGTTGATGAAAATTAATATCAAATTTAAAAAGTTGCTAAAATACAACTTAATTGAAAATCGAGTGTTAAATAGTTACTTGGTTTGGTAAAATCAAGTTTTGCTTGATTTAAACATTGTTAAGTTGAGTAAATATGGAGTTTATCATTCATCACCAAACATGATGCCAGACAACATGCCTGGAGTTATACAAAAACAAGATGTACGTAACTGAGTAGAGTTCTCAACAGGCCCTTGCTTGCATGTTTGGATACCTCTATGCTAGAAGTGCTTTCTGAAGGGCAAGTGCATTCCTGTTCCTGAGCTAATGTGCCAAGATTACAGCCTAGCTCATCGTAGAGCCTCACAACTTCACAGGATGCAGTGATGGATGTGACATCACAGCTCCAAAGTCACAACCCTGTCTGTTTCTCTGTGGTTTTGACATCCGGCCCTGCGGCAGAGAAAACTAGATGTCTCGTTACTGGCCTGTAATAGATGACTTTAGCGCTGTGTCTTGCTTCTGGCCTGCCTCTCTGATGGCTTAGCCTTACTGGGTGATTTAATCTACCATCTGTTGAGCAGGGAGCAGCAGTCAGGCCTGTGACACAGATGCTCAAGCTCAAACATCCTACTGAAATACAGGCCATTATGGAGAGTCCATTAACCCCTTAAACTGCAAGCACTAACGCCTTAAACCACCAACATATTATCCAGTCATTAATCTTAAGATTTATAATTCAGTCACTACCATGAATTACTCAGTAGGAGGGCTGGACTACAGTTGTTTGCAAAAGTTCGGTCAAGTTACATGTTTTGTTGATTGAAGTGAATATAAGTACACATCCTACACAGAGGACACACTTCTGCACAGTCTGCAGTTACTGTTAATTTGCTGAATTTAACATATTGGGAAAAATAAAACATAAAATGTGGCCTGTGCAAAGGTTATGGCACATATTATGCTCTAGGTTTTATTCAGTCCCAATAAGTTCAACTCATAAATGAATGAATGCTTTTAATGAATTGAATTTGAAAATGAATTTGCTAATAAATAAATAGTAAATAAATAGAATGTGTAACAGAATTAGCTGAAAATGCCATAGGTAGGTTCTCTGTTCACTTGTTTTCACTTAGAAACTCAACAAAACATGTAATTTGACTGAAAGTGTACAGACTTTTAATATAACTGTATGTGGCAAAATATAAATATGAGAGTTTAAGACTTTTTGATGAAACACAATATGCATCACAGTATTTTGTTTTAATGAGGTTTGATCAGCAGGAACAAACAAAAAAGAATGAGCAGTGCCAAGTTTAATTCATGACCGAAACACAAAGAGTTTTAGGTTATAGGTGGAGTGTTATTTTAGCCACGCCCCTGCATTTTAGAGCAGGAAGTGAGACTGTTTCCCTGTCCCTCATGGCCTCATGGTGAGCAGTTAGATCCTATTGTTTTAAAGTAAATGTGTTCCAAAGTTTGAAAATCAGTGTGTAATGTAAAAAATTGTCACCACTGAAACACGCTTTCTGCAATTAAGTAAATGTTTTGTGTTTTCATAAAAATATTGTGATTTTATGTGTGTGCAGCTGTTCAAAGCTGTGTTAGCCATGAACAGGCTATTGTTTTTGAATTATGCTCAAAATAAGCTAAAATTGTCACTACTGAAACAGTCACTACCACAACATTTGGTACAGTTTTGGTAGTGACTTCTTTGAGTGGTAGTGTTATGATTGTTTTGATAGTAACAAATTGAAATATTAAAATAATTTATTTTATAAACAAATCTAAGTAAGACATGGTGTCAAAGGATCTTTTAAATTTTGTTTTTTCTCAGTAACAAAGCTGTAGTTATTGAACAGCAGGCAAGTGAGGTTTAGGATTTCCTTAGTTCAGCTCTCAAGGTGCTTCATTGACCTTGTAGGAACACAGTGCTCATCACCATGGCTACACTGAAGCAGCACCCTTGTTTGTTGACACTTGTTGTCCCTGAAGATAGCAGTGTTCCCCCATTTAACTTGAGAGCCTTGGGGAAGGTTGTGTGTCTCCATATGTCTCAGTGTGTTTTCTCTAAATGCAATTTAATAGTCTTTAAATATTCACACTGTTTTGGATCAGCTTAAAGTGATAGTTTGGCAAAAATCAATTGTACACAAATTTCCCCTTACTACAAATGTAGCTGATCAGGATGGACATGTCTGTTGTTCAAGGTTTGCTTCTTTGCATAGGAGCTACAATGCTAATGTAACTAGTGCTGGAAGCGTATAAGATCATAGATTACAGCAATCAGCCTTGTGCAAACATCACACGCTTTCCTCAAACCACATCAGGTTGTTTAGTAACCTCAAACAGACTTGCAAAGAAATCTGCAGAGATGTTTTCCTCAGTTTATTCTTAGATATTTGTTGCATTTTCTGCTTCTCACAATCCTAATATTCTCACTTAGACTCATAAAACCTTACTCCACATCTCAGATGTGCAGCTACAGTCTTCTAATGCCAAATGTTAGCTTTAAGTAGTGTCTTAAAGGTCTACCAGGTTTTGCACAGTTGTGAGTCCCATTTTCTCTGCATCTTTTAATCTTTTTTCAACAGATTTGGAAACTCCTGTTTTTTCACTTATTTTACTTTGACTTATTCCTTCCTTATTCAAGAGGATTATCGAATTTCCCCAGACATGTCACCTTTAGCCATTTTAGTTGCTCATAGTAAAGAAATACAGTACAGCGAGGCTAAGGTGTGTATTTGTACTTAATGCCCATTTTGACCAGAAATTAAATAAACAATAGAGCATTTTGAAGCCTGAAGGTTGTCAATAATTTTATTTTTTTATAGTACAAGCCTCTCTGTCTTCATGTAAGCTTTGAGGCAGAAGACATTGGTGCAGCAGAGGCTGCTGGGTCACGTTAGATTTGTCAAACAATGGACTTAGCTTAAGCTAATGAACATTTGTGAGAGGATTCCCTTCATCGAACAACACTGCCTTTTGCACAAACCTCTTTACACATGCTTATGCAATTCTGCTCTAATGCTGGCTCACTCAACTCACTTTTAATAAATACCAGTTGTTGAGCAATGTTGTCCTAAGCCATGCTCTGGTAAATATAGAGTAGAGCTGACCCGACCCAGCAAGTGAGGTCTGAGTGACCTGTGGAAAGAGTTGGACAGTTATTGTGAGAAGTTATGATTTTGTAAGAATTATAGGTATTGGGTATCGCCAGTACTTCTAGAACTACTTCATGTATCATAAAAAAGACTACACTAAAACTACATAGTAACAAGACGTGGATTGGATCATCTAATTATTTTATTAACTTATTTTACTAACTGTTTTTCCCTGCTATTTAAGTATTTTTAAGTAGTTTATTTTTGCATATGTTTTAGTTAAAAAAATCCTCATTATTTGTGGCACCACCATTTTGCTGGTGCATTTTGTCCAGTCCAATTTGTTTTCAAAATTCAGAAAAACTAAACATGATACATATTGGCCCTTATTCACCAATGTTGCGTACGGTCAAATCAGACCATAAAATAAACGCAAATTTCACAGACAGCGTTGTTATTCATCAGTTTCATCTTTGGCACATCTGTATGATCAAACTCGTGCCTTTTATGAGTGTGTCAATTTGAGTGTATAGTTTAATGGCCTCAAAAAAGCCTGATTTGCAGTTAACTAGCCAAAAGTATAATCAATATCATCTATATTACCACTCATAAACATCGAAAATAATAATAATGCTATTAATTTCTGCACATGATAATCCAGTAAAAAAGTGGCTGTACTTATTTTACATGCACAAAACAAATAGTGCAATTTTCCTTTTTTTCCATTTTCCTTTGAAAGACATTTTCACTGTACTTTTGCTTTATACTACAGAAATTATCCCAAAAAATCAAATACAGAGCACGGCTAGTGCAGAAGAATCAAATACACTGCCTTAATAAAGAGTTTCAATATGTTATTTTAGGAAAATAAACATACTACACAATCATATCAGTCTTAAAAACTGAGACGTTTTGTTCATTTCAGTTTGTATTCTTTCCAGTTGTTGTGGTTTTAACACTATGAAGTTTGGTCAGTAGGACGAGCCGTGTACTCACCACCTCAGAGTCCACCTACGAGCTCATGGCTCAAACTCAATAATGTTGTTGTATTGACTCCTTATTGAAACATCTGCGTGAATCAGGTTGTGCTTCATGTAAATGATATGTAAATGTGGTACTGGTAGGCTGTAGCTTGATTTCACGCACTGAACCTGCTCTTTTCCACAAAGTTTCATGAATCAGACACAGAGTAGTCCATACCATCATTAAGGATGGTCAGATCTATGCTCCTTTTTATGCAGCTTTGCTGAATAAAGACCAGTGTGCATTGTGATAAAACATACTGTGATGTTACATTTTTACCATATCACCTGTGAATCTCCCTCTGTCCTCTGCAGGTCACAGAACTAGCCGGATACACAGCTCGCGTCCACAACATGTTCCTGGTGTTTGATGAGGTGCAGAGGGGTGTGTACAAGCGTGCCACCGTTTCCACGACAGCAGTGGCTGGGGAGAAGAAGAGTGGGGGACGGCATGAGCTGCACATTGATGGGCCTCTGGAGATCAAAGGTACAGCATTAACCGGGAAGTAGTAATGAGTCCATGAACCGACACAGATTTACAGTTGGTGGAAAGTGGTGAAGACCCAGAAACAGGAGTAGGTGCTTTACAGCCTACCTTGACAACAGTCTGATTGGTCGAGAAGTTTTTGTTACATCAGATAACAACACATTTTTTTCACTGTCCTCTCATTTGTTTACTGAGGTGAGGTACGTGTGAGGTAAACTGAGGCTTTTGCCCAGATTGTGGAGGTTTCAAAAGTTTTCTGACTGATTAGCTTAGCTGCTGCTGAAGTGAAGCCCTCGGGCCTGGTGAAGATGTAAACTTATTTGCTGATTATAAAATACTACGTGCACACCGCGGTATGCTACTCTGCTGGGAATTCCACACATAAAATTTCACATTACATGCTGAAATTATCGCTATTAAAATGTGTTCTCTTTTCTCAGAAACACATTTATTTTGTTTTGTAAAATAATTAGTTTGTCTGTTTGTTATTTTTACCCTCCAGTCGAACAAGGAAATTCATCATTCACTTCATCGTCCCAGACAAGAGTTAATATTGACCGGTTTCTACATAACATCAATGGCTGATTGACTCTAAATTTAGCTAAACTTTAACTTTAACATTTTCTAAAATAGAAAAATGGATGTATTGGAAAGATATCATTTGACTTGGAGGCCATCCTTTAGTCAGGTTCATAAGAGGAGCATTATGCACTTTATTGATCCTACAAGCGAAATTTGTCCATACTTTCCAGCAGCAGCACCTAGGGCTGTGGGGGGCTTAAGTGCCTTGTCCAGTTATACTCAATCAGTCTTGGAATTTGAACCGACAGTCTTATGGTTGCTGGCTCACTGCTCCTACCACTAGCTTACCAGCCAGCCAATAAAATGTTATAGTAGTTGATCAAATTCTGTAACTGCTGTTGCTTGTAAGCCAAATTATGTACAGCTTTGTTGTAACACATTGCTTGTGGTGGAATACATTACCAATATCAAAATTATGTTCGGACCAGCAGCTGAGTCTCATTTGCTTTACTTTTTTGCTTTACTTTGCAAAACTCTTATATACAAGAAATAACATCACAGTTATTCAAGATAACACACTCCCTCCTGTGTTCAGTTGCTTAAGTGTTTCCCAACCTGGTCCTTGTTGGGCCCCAGAATGTGTATAATTTTGTCTTATCCCAGCTCAAAGCGCACCTGTGCCAGCTAGAGAGTTGGGCAAAATACTTTGAAAAAGTTGTGACGGCTGAATACTGAATACATTGTCTCAAATGTATTCAGTGATGTATTCCAGTGCAATACATTAAAGGTAACATATTCAGAATACATTTAGAATACATTTACAGTACACATTGATAGTACATGGGAAATCTTTATTTATTTCACAATTAAATAAATACAAAAAGGAATACAAAATTCCCATTCCCATTGCCCTTTCATGACCTATGCCAACAATTTGCCATATCCCAATAACAAAATCTTGCAAATTTGACTGTAAAATGAGTGGCTATGGGGCTATGGGTTTCAGTTAAAGATATGTATGTAACTTGCCACAGAACACATACACAGTCCAGCACAATGCCAAAGCTAAGCTTATCACTCGAGAACATATCCAGACTATGTCACACTTCAATAATCCATTAAAAAAGTTTACTAACGCTCAGATTAACAACTGGCTCATCACAGTGATTTATCAGTCTGCTCATGCTTTAGCAGGAACTTCAGTGTTTGTAAAGAAGCCACTTTTTAAATTCTTCTTTAGAGTAAGTCTTTACACCCTGTGTGCTGAGGTTAAAATAGTTACTTAACAAGCACTGATGGTGTTTCTTTGAAAGATAGTCTATATTTTTTAAATGTAGTGGGTAAATATTCTAAAAGTATTCTTCTAAAAATGTTAAAGGTAACTGCATTCAGAATACTGTCTTTGCAAAATGTAACTTGATTGACAGATACTTAATTTCTGTATTCTGAAGACATATTCCCAATTCCAAACATGTGTATTCCATTCCATCCAAATCCTGACCAACTATCAGTGTTCATGAGTGCTTCAGATATGCTGGGAGATAGGACAGAGCAAAAATGTGATTTAGGAAGCTCTGGCTTAGTAACAGCTTGAATCTTATGAGGTTTCTTCTTATATTCTGTTGTTTCAGTCTGGCATTGGCTTTTAGCGAGACATTTTTAAGGCTATCACTTTTTGCCAGACCACTCAGCAGTTTTGAAACAGAGAGTACTGAAAATCAACACCACCCGGTCTGTGGACAGACATAGCACAAGCTCTCAGTACTATTATAAGACTTTTCTTGATATAAAAACATCTACCAAGACCAAAATTGTGATATTTTTATCACAAACTACCATTGTGAGCAAGTAAACATGCATTATGAATAAACGTCACTCTGGTTACTCTGATCAAAACAAACATTTCCAATATAAATATTTATTCCATTCTGAATGTTCACAACACTGAAACTGAAAATGAAGGCAGTGTTTAGCCGTTCACCTCTCAGAGGTGTGCTAGTGTTCTGATGTGACAGAAGCTCTGACCATTATGGGATTTGCATTAGTTAGACTGGGCATCTAGAGACAGTAACTGTATCTGTTGTCATGGTTTCATTTTCATTGCCTCTTCTCCTTCCCACTCTTTAGTTTCACATCTTATTTTATCAGTAACTGCCAGTGTGCTAATAGAATCAAAACAGAAATTATAATGTAGTCTTTTCTTTCTTACTATCAGCTGGTAGAGTTTAAAGATACTACATATCTCAGTGTTGCTCAGTTTGAAAAAATAGGAATCTTGTTTATTCGTTATATAACGAATGTCTTATATGGTTTCTGCTCCTTTTAGGGAAAGTCATTGATGTAGATAAAGGTATAGTGTGTGAGAACGTGCCCATCATCACTCCAAATGGGGATGTGGTTGTTTCCAGCCTGAATTTCAAGGTGAGATCAACGTTTGTTGTAACTCTTATAAATTGGTTTCAGACATCACACAAACCCAGGCATGGTCTGCTTTAACCCTTAGAAGAATGCAGTTGTTCTTTCTATACTGTTTATGAAGTTACATTATTTGTTTTCCAATTTTTTTATTTACATTTGATTTACATTCTTTATCAATTAAGCTTAAATGATAATGACAATTTAGACAAACAAAAAGAGTAAGAAAAGGATATATATATATATATATATATATATATATATATGCACATAAATTAAGAAAATATACAGTAAATATGTTATATATTATACCATCTGTTTGCATGCTGACAGATTCTAATAAACACAAATACAGAATTATGTTATATGTACACAAATTGCTATATGAGTGCAAACAAAAAATTACTGTGCAGTACTGCACATGTGAAAGTGTATACTGGCATGTGAAAATGAAAGAAAGGACGATAATTTGCATAATACTGATAATGATTTTTCTGTCATATGACACTATGCAAAACAATAACGTGTGAAAATAAAACATTTCCTCTTCTGCTTGCAAACAAAAATGTGGTATGGACTTTAGAATCTGCGCTTCTGACTCACTCAGCTTGTTAAAAGGAGCTAAAGAAAGAGAAATAATATCAAATTATATCATGTTTTCATTGTTGCTCTTGGCAACTGCAACCTCTAATGATTAAAACATTTTGCATTCTTCTTCGTGAGAGTTAAAACGTTTGATGAATCTTCATTCCTTTTGCACAGTAGATATTCACTGAATGAGACCTGTGTGCTGTGTGTGTTTGCTGCATGGTGTGCAGGTAGAGGAGGACATGCACTTACTCATCACAGGACCTAACGGCTGTGGGAAAAGCTCTCTGTTCCGCATCCTCAGCGGCCTGTGGCCTGTTTACGGCGGCCTCCTGCACAAACCTGCTCCAGAGCACATGTTCTACATCCCACAGAGGTGAGAGTGCTAGGGGGTATAATGCAGCATTCATGACTACATTAGAACTGGGAAGTTTCTGACTTCCAAGATGGAAAAATCCATTTGAACAGCTCTCAACTCGTAATTCCCACTCAGAAACTCCGACGTCAGGTTGAAATTCTGTGACACCAGTTCAACATGGCAGCGCCCACAGATTAAGAAGTAATAGCATGTTTTGCGTTTTAAGCTGACTGAACAATTTATATTTTTGTATGACATACTATTTAAACACAGGGGGATACGTGGATATTGTCAAAGATTAAGTCAGTCTGCGCAAGATTTTTGCTCAAACTCCAAGCTATCATGTAATGTTTGACCCTGTATTAATGGTGAATTGCCATACAGTCTATGTCCATGTTTAAAATAAATGAAGAACTAACCAAACCACTGTTTAATTCCAGTGAAGAAGCTTTTTGAGAGCCTTTTATATATATATATTTAGCACCCAAATAAATGTTAACATACTGTGAACATTCATTTTTTCCAACTTTAAACAGTTCAGGGGGAGTGAATGCTTAGAGACGGGAAGTAAGAAGCTCTGAGTTGAGTTTCCAGTTGCCATGAAAGCAGCATGATACATCGGTCTCGCACTACAATATGTACTGTGGTTTTTGAAAATATTCCCGAGTCCATGTTGTGATGTCCATCACAGAAGCATGCCTGAAAACGAGAAACGGTGATTAAAAACACATCCTACGAGAGTGTACCAGTCAGCGCAGACTCATTTATTGAATTTTATGGCACATACCTTAGCCTACATACTGTAATCATTTTAATACGTTTATTTTATACAAACTGTTATTTATTTATGATCAGCTCACTCTTTACTTGAAAAAGCAGGTTTTGTCAGTAATAAAGATTAACTAATTGTGTTTAATTTTTTTTTATTCAAAATCATAGAAAAAGGCAAATAAAAAAGTTATTTTCTTTCAACGTTCTTTCAGTTTTAGTTTTCAATGCTGAATTTAAGTTTTGGCCAGAAATTTTAATGTTGATGCATAACTAATAATAATTATTATAATAAATGAAAAGTATTGTTACAGTTGAATCAAACTGCTGTTTAGTGTATCAAATGGAATTGAAAAAACAGTGAATCATGAATTGAATCGATTTTCTGTCAGCTGAAAGATTCCTCCCCTTATTAAGATACAAAATTATGACAGTGTCATTATGAAAAAGTGTCAGATATTGACACACCTGCAAAGCACAACTGGGTATCCATTCTCACACACACACACTCACACATACACACCCGCACAGTGTCTGACTCTCTAACATGCTGTGTCCTGTGTGCTGGTGGTGGTGTGGCCCATGTGGGGGTATCAGTAGAGAGCAGTAATTGAAGCTGTGGGACGCTGCTGAGGGCAGGAAACCAGAGCCATCGCTAGTGAAATATTTACCACATCCTGAAGGCTCACACACAAGGCTCTGGAGAGGACTGAATATTTAATAAGAAGCAGGAAGAGACAGAGGGAGCACTTGCCTTTAGGAATGGGGCGTTCCTCACTGCTGATCTTCGAACAGTTTTGATCCTGTGATGTCATTAGCTATTACTGTCAGTTTGCTTTACTGCTTGAATGTGATTACATAATTACTTAATTATTAATTACATAGTTATCTAATGAATTTATGTTTATATTCTACTACTTATTAGTCATTAAGTCATATTTTATTAATATTTAAGCTTCTTCTCAGGTTTCTGCATATATTGCAACCTGTCAAAAGAAATTAATAAAAGTTGAAAAAAGAAAAACCTAAAACAAAAACACATGACCAGTATTTTGCACTCATAAACAGTGCCTTATCCAAAGTAAAGTACCGTATATTAAGAGAAACATGTTATTTTAACATCTAGACCAACCAAGTTTATCTGGTTAACTAGCTAGATTAGCTATAAACTTGTTTGGTTAACTTCAGCCAAATACAATAAACTTGTTACAGAATTGAAGGTAATCTCTGCCTAAAAATGACCTAATATTCAGCTGTAGTGTTAGACAAATATTATTAAATACAGCTACAAGTGACCCTCTAGCAAGACAGACATGATACAACCATGATACCATTAACATTATCACATTGCCACATTAAATTATCACAGCCAGAAAAATACAGTTTTCAATTCTAAAAAAGGTGGGTCAGTATGTGAAATGCTAATAAAAACAGAAAGCAGTGATTAGTAAATTCTCTTTAACCTGTATTACAGTGACACACAATATTTGATGTTTTACCTTACGAATGTTATTGTTTTTTATAAATATATGCAAATATGTTGCCTGTAACACAATCCAAAGTTGGGTCAGAGCATGTTTACCACTGTGTTACATCACATTTCCTTAATGTGCACTTAATAAACATTTGGGGACTGAATACACCAATTGATTTTTTTGCCATTTTATATCATTTTTTGCCAGTTACACAAGTCTTGAGCTGCCATCAGATTGCACACTTAGGAGACAGACAGTCCAGTCTAGTATCCACGATCTCTGATTACACAGTCATCCTGTTGTAACACGTGCAGAATGTGGCTTGGCGTTGTCATGCTAAAATAAGCATGGATGTCCCTGTAAAACACAGTGTCTAAAATGCAGCATATGTTGCTCTAAAATGTGTGTGTAGCTTTCAATGTTTATGGTGCCTTCACAGAGAATTTGGCAGCATTTCTGAATATTGTTGACATATGGCTTCCATTGTGCATAGTACAATTGAGTACAAAGGAGTGTGCCTTTCTGGATACTCCTTTTATACCCATGCATGATTCAATCTCCAGTTTCAAGACATTTTCAGATTGAGTTAATTCATACACACAGCATCAAAGAGACATCATATCATTGCCGCGCAAACCTAATGAGTCCTTCTCTGTGCTAGGGTTGAACTCTCCCACGCAGGGGACAAGTAACTTAACCATTTGGCTATATGGCCAATTAAAAAACACACACATGCACAACGTAAAAACTCCTCCATCCTCCAAAACTCCTCCTAAACTACAAGCCTGTAAAAAACATACTAGAAATAGAGAGTAAAGATAAATAAAAAAATAAACAAAGTGTTTTTTTGTCGTTTTGTTGATGTATTGCATATTTGTTGATGTCTGTACTGTAACATGTGTGTTTAGGCCTTACATGTCTGTGGGGACGTTGCGGGACCAGGTCATCTACCCTGACTCTTTGGAGGACATGCATCACAAAGGCTTCAGAGATAAAGACCTGGAAGGCATCCTGGACATTGTCAACCTGAACCACATTGTGGCTCGTGAAGGGGGTACGTCCACTGCGCTGCGGCTGACCAGTGTTTACTCGATGCTTCTCCACTTGAGAAAGCCTTCTGATCTATAAAAGGAGGCTTGTGTGCTGGTAATTGGAAACAGGACCTTTGTTGTTGTGGCACAAGCTGGCCTTTTATAATGACACTGAGGCTTAATGAGGTTGTTCAGGGTGAAAGTCTATGAATGGGATGTGTGTGTGTGTGTACGCTTGACTGAGAATGAGTGCTTCTAGCTGAAGGTAATTTAAGTAATCGCCATAATCCTGATTTGCAGATATTGGGGGCTGTTGCAAAAAAAAGTACTTCTGCATGCCACAACGTCACAGATTGTCGCAGGTCTTAATGTGGATTAGAAACACACACAGGCATAATGTGGTCAAAGTGCTTGTTATAGTAGGAGGCTTCCATGTTGCTCTACAGTTAATGCACCTTACTCACACATACAGATGCATCTTTTCAAGTTAAGTCAAGTCAAGACAAGTGGTGTTTACTGTTATACCTCAATATAACTTGTATGTATTGGAATGAAATGTTGTTTTTCAGGCACAATGGTGCAACACACAACAACAGCACAGTACCCAGGATTACATAGAGTGTAGATACATGACAGTGTGAAACGAGTGCAGAATATATAGTAAATACAACAGACAAAAAATACACATAACAATAAATGCTAAAAGGACAACAGAAAGAAAGTACATATACAGTGGCATGTAAAAGATGACCTAGGATTTAATATGGACCGTTCCACATAGGATTTTTCAGAATGTCTTTGGAGAAAAATAATGAGATTTTTACTTTTGTGACCATTTTGTGACCATAGCTGATGAAAAAGTGGACGATCACTGCTCAGCTCTATGGGACAAAACTGGATTTTAGAAATCCATTCCTCTCTTAATTGGCCACCCCTATCACAGTAAAGTTCTCAGCTGACGTGAGAGCTTATATTGTTTTATGTGTGCAGGCTGGGAGGCAGAGGTGGACTGGAAAGACGTGCTGTCTGGAGGAGAGAAGCAGCGGATGGGAATGGCTCGTATGTTCTACCACAGGTAACTCATCTGATGTGATTAAGTGGGCAGTTGGGTGATCATGTGTTTGAAATGTCTGTCCTAAAATCTCACCCTCTGTTTAGGCCCAAGTACGCTCTGCTGGATGAGTGCACAAGCGCTGTCAGTATTGACGTGGAGGGTAAAATATTCCAGGCTGCAAAGGATGCTGGGATCTCCCTGCTGTCTATTACCCATAGGCCCTCTCTGTGGTGAGGCTCAAGCACGTCACAGTTGTAGTCAAGATCCTTAAATTAGACACTGTGTGACATATGGTTATCTATAAAAATGGACAAAATTCAGGCTTCAAGATGGCTGCTACCACTTTGTGTAGAAATGTGTTTGTATATTTTGGAGAAAACAGTATGTCACTCCATTCTATAGGCGACTACATTTGGGGTAAGGGGGAAATTGTATAAATGAGATATTTTGCAGGACAGTTTATCTGTTTCAGGGGTCCCTGGCATTTTGCAACTCGTGGCCCAAACAGCTGACCACAAAAGCTTCCAAGGCCCACAAAAAAGATTTAAAGAGTTGAAGTCATTCAGAGTGGTTCAATGTGAAATGACGCATTGTATAGAGAAACGTATTAACCAAAAGTGGGGGTGATAGGAAACAGGGTTAATAATGTTCACAACACCAAGCATAGCCATTTTATTTACTATCCAACACAACCAGTGAACCTACATGTGTCTGAGTTGATGTAAAATTGACAATAATAAAATAATAGAAGTAAATCTGAAAAAATAAGTTTTCTACATGAATGAGTTCTCTGTGCCCTACATGTACTTCTTTGCGATAAATTAATTTTTTAAAAATTATGTTTTGGGCCAAAACTTTCTCAAAACACTTCTCAACCGGAACTGTATTTATAGACATTTTTTGTAATATCTTTTTGTGAGGGAGCTTTTAGAGGCATTAAACACTTCAGAAGTCTAGTTTCACAACTGTAGACAATTCTAACTCAGTAAGTTTCTCTAGAATGGAGCATCAAACCACTATGAATGTCTTCATTTACATCTTAACCATTTGCTTATGCAGACATTTTGAAATATTGTGGAATTTCCCTTTATTCAGCCCAGTAGTTTCAAATGCAAGCAAACATAAAACATAATGATCATTGTAGTGAAGTGAATTTGACTTGAGTATATAATCATGCAGCATAAATAAAAAATCTCAAAAATATCTACAGATTTTCTGTTTGTACTCATTTATACATGATAAATAAATTCCATATGATGAAAAAGAGATATGTTTTACATTGACTTGCACTGAAATTATAAATAGAGCTGGTTAGATCAATTTTGTGAGACCAGTCTAAATATTTTGCAAATAATTATTACAAGAAAAATATTTGTTGTTTAAAAAAATTACCTTTGGTTAAATGTCTATACACTGAAGTTTTGCTGGTTTAAAAAAAATACTGCCAACAGCCCTCTAGCTGTACCACCATGGCCCACTGGGGGGCCACGTCCCACAAGCTGAAAAGCACTGATTTAATTAATATCTCTCTATCTACTTCATCTCATCTTCACCTCACCATTTGGTGTTCTCTCCATAGGAAGTACCACACCCACCTGCTGCAGTTTGACGGCGAGGGGGGTTGGCGGTTTGAGCAGTTGGACACGGCCACTCGTCTCTCTCTGACCGAGGAGAAGCAGCGTCTGGAGTCTCAGCTCGCTGGAATTCCCAAAATGCAACTGCGCCTAAACGAGCTGTGCAAAATCCTGGGGGAGGATTCTGTGCTGAAAACAGAAGAACCAGACGAGGAGGAGTGAGAGACAGAGCGCCAGCGTTACCCTCAAACCTGACTACGCACATCCTCCGGTACTATCGCAGTGTTAAACAGTGATTTTAAACTTTGTCACTTTCTAAAAATGTCACTTTATTGAGATTTCCTTACATGAGTCTTACATGTATTTTATCTCATCCCTTAGAGACAATTTTGGTTCAGTTTTGTAATAATTCTGTAGCAGATTGAAACATTTTAGTGACTTTTATGTTTTTACTGATGTACATGATGTCATTTAGTGACAATGACAGCTGGTAGTGTAACTTTTGAAAATATGTCTACCTTCTATGGTAATCTTTTGTTAGGTGTTTTCATTGATTTCGTACTTGACACTACAGATTGTGGGTCCTTACCTGTGGTATTTTTACAGAAATACTTGAACCTTAACCACTGAACACCACCCTTATATCTGATAGTTTAATCTTAGGTAATAATAGATCAGCTACTTTGCCTCTAATTGTTGATATCATTGGTGATCTACGTTTGGCACTGAGAAGTTCTATTACTGGTCATCTGTTTTTATGTTAATTTGTATGCCAGCAGACTTTTTCTGGGTTCTACTTTTCCTAAAGCATCATACAGGTAAGATTATACTTAATCTACCAGTCTAATCCAATCTATGTATTGTGATGCTTTTTGGAAACCGTACCCATCTACAGTTCAGCTCTACTGCTCTAGTGTAATCTTCTCCCTGCCTCATCCCTGGCACTAATGCTCAGAACAAAATGAATATGATCTATACATACGGATGCTGTGAAATATAGGCCCAATCCCATTTTTTTGTTTTTACCTCTACCCTTTGTTTTCGAGTGTCACCTTGCCCCTTGCAACTGAGTTACAAGGGGTAGTGGTTGAAATCCTCCCCTACGAAATGGGACAACCCTCAAATAAAAAAGAGCATTACTTCATTAACAGGCTACTAGCGGTGCTCTATGGGTGACCCTGCCAGTCTGCAGTAATAGCAGAGGGGGGTAAAGTTCAGCTCCTCACTGCTGGTCTTTAGTTAAATTTAGGGAACCAAATGCCTTCAAAGAGGGGGGATGTGATAATTATTTATTATCGCCCACCCCCAATTCTTTGGTGAGATGAAGCTGAAGTCAGCTATTCGCCAGCTTCTTGTTAGAATTTTCCTGTTCCACCTTAAATGGAGCAGAATACTGCTGGACTATTTAAGGTGGAACGGGAAAGTTAGCTAGCTAGCTATCGAGACATTAGCGCACTATTAGCGATTTTTCATGCTTGTTATGAAGAAAAGGACCATATTACATTGTTACGACATTAAACTAAGATAATACAATGGTTATCATAATTTTATAACAGAGAAAATACTCACATTTGTGGGTTTCTTTGGTTGCTCGCACAGCCATCTTGCTGGTTTTTCTTTTTTCTCATTACACTCTGTTTTGAGTGTGCCTCTGAAAAACCTCCATGTGGAGGGCCATGTAGCCGTAACACTTTGCCCTACCACTCTATTTCAACAAAAATCCTGACACTCTACCCCTAAGCGTGAGCGTGCAAAACGGATGGCTCAGGGCTAAGTGGTAGGAGCAAGGGGTGAAATGGGATTGGGCCTTAGTTGCTAGTTTTTTAGGTGCACCTACCTTGTACTGCACTTTTTGGCCCTTTTTATCACAATCACCTCCCATATATGTGCACTTTGTAGGTTTACAGTTACAGATTGTAGTCCATCTGTTGCTGCAGTTTATCAGCCCCCCTCTACCACATCCATGACTGGAAAAGGACCACCACAGGACACCCTGACCAGATTTTAGGGTAATGGACTGTTTTCAATGTAACAGTGACACCAAAATGGTAGAGTTGCCATCAGTTTCACATCAGTGTCAACACTGAATTGAGAATAGTTCAACAAAAAATATTGAGCAAGAAGTGGTCGTGTGGTCAGAAACTGATAATTGATGAAGAGCTAGAGCAGTGGTCACCAACTTTGGTCCTGAAGACTGACCTTCCTTTGAACCACATTCTGCCACACCCGCCCCAGCTAATTAACTTCTTCAGAGGTCCTTAATTGGCTGGATAAGATGCATTAGTGTAGGTTTGGAAAGGGGGCAGCATCTTGTTTGGAGGTTGGAAATAAACTCTGCCGGAAAGTAGACCTCCAGGAGGAGGATTGGTGACCACTGGGCTAGAGGATGGATCAAATTGTGCATTAACAGATGAACTACTGTCTCTGTGTGTACACCAGCAAAGTCGAGTTATAAGATGTTTGAAGTGTACTTAGTGTTCAAAAACTCCAACAGTGCAGCTGTACTCAGACCTGTTCCACACACACTACCATATCAGTCTCACGGCTGTGTTAAGAATATGATTCACCCCGAAAAAAATGTTTGGTCAGCGGTGGTCCTTTGGTGGGTCTTTTCCTCTAATGGACAGGGTAGTGGGGCTGATAAATGAGTAACAGCAATTGTAAACCTTTGAATTACACAGATCTGGTAGGTGTTTCAGATATAATGGCCAATGAATGTAGGCACGAGTAGAATGTATGTATTAAACTGGCTACTCTGTGTATATTGGTTGAATGCAGAAGCACTTTGGCTGTAATGGTGTCCTATATGGTTCTTTTAATAAGTTATAGACTGCAGGCCAATGTTGAATATAAAGATTTGCTTTTTTTATGTTTTTTATTACCACTGAATTTTGAAAGACACATTTGTCTGCGTCTCTTTAAGACAGATATACTGTGAATTGTGTCTGCTTTTCATGTGTTGAACAAGATGCTGAAAAGAACAAATCAGCTTGCCTTTCAATCACTTACAAGCAAATGCATTTCAATGTGTGATTCCTGAACTGAGGCATTGTATATGATGGAATTTCATAGGTTTGTTCTCCCTGTTTAGTAACATTTTGTGCATTTCATTGGAAAAATCTGCTATTTTGTCTACCTTACCTGTTTGAATAATGAGGGCAAGATAATCACCATGTTCTTACGAAATAGTCATTTCTGGTGTATAAAACCTGTGTTGGATTCCAGAAACATTAGCATTAGGTAGCATTAACTTCATTTATTTATTTGTTTCTAATCGAAAATAGACATTTTTCAGATTTCTACATGATCAAATCAGGAATTAGCAACAATTAAGGCTACTATAGGGCCCGTTTCATTAACCTGAATATGAAGTAATAATATTCCTTACAATTTAAATAGCATGAATAATTCAAACATGTAATGCCAGCAGTGTAAATAGAATGATTTTATATGTCTGAAACTCTTGTGAGATATTATATATTTTGACATGAGGTCCTTGCTCATATTTTGTCTACAGGAGTATTAGAGACATGTTGCTGATGTAATGAATTTATGATAATAGTGTAATTTTATGAAAAGCCAGTCAGCGCCCTTTCTGGGACATTGTAATGACAAACAGTGATTGAGGTGATAGTGTGGACGGCAGAATGTCCCTTTTGCAGAGTTTTTGCCCTTCTAGCAAGAACTGTCAGCTCAAACAGAGAGAACTGTAACTTATTAGAAGCCTGTCTTTGAATGGACTTTGTCTCTTTTTGCATGTCATAAGGATGCCTATACTTCTCCTGTACTGTTTCCAAACAGTATACATAAAATGCCATTTTGCAAATATGTTTAAATCCCAAGGGTTGAAATATGCCTGAATATGTGAACTAAGACTGGAAATGTTCAGCTGCCCGGTAAATAAAAGAATAACAATTAAAGCGTGTGCAGACTGCCTTCAGTACCAGGTATTAAAACCATATTTTATGTTGAAAGACGCTGCTATTTTCTCATAGGTCTACTACAAGATCACCAAACCTTGTAAACTGTAAACTCTCCCTGAATTTCTCTAGAATGGAGCATTTCACATCAAACCACTATGAATGACTTTGTTTACACTGCAAAAAATGGTGTCTTGGCAAGTGAAATGATCTTAAATCTGGTAGATATATCTAATATTTCTCATTTTGAGATAGTTGTAAGATTTTTTAATAGGATTATTTAACTGATTTCTAGACTTGAGTGATTTTATTAAGTCAACTTATCTCATTATTTTGGAAGATCATTTTGCATGTTGTAAGAAATATGCCTGAGACAGTACAGTGAGATCTCAAAAGAACAAATATTACATGTATTGATGACATTTAAGATAACTTCACGTGCTAAGATACCATTTTTTGCAGTGCACATCTTAATCATTTAATTATGCTGAAATTTTGAAAAACCTGTTGGAAAACATGCACTGAACAGGTTAGCAGGTGGTGTTCGTTGTGAAACACGAGAAAAAACGATTACACAGTTACAGTCCCTTCCATTCAGCAGCACCCACTCATACTCATATACAGATACTTAACTGTGATGGATTTGTACTTTCCAAGTGACTTTTTTTTACTTCTACTCAAATAGGCCTATATTTGTGAGGCAAAAGGAATGTACAATTTCCCAAGCTGCTTTTTAATCCTCCTACTTCTTTTTTGTGTGTTTAATTTCACACCTGGACTGATTTGATGTGGCTCACATCTCTCACTCTGGAGCTTTAGCATGTGTTTCAGAAAAAAGAGAAGACTAGAGGCTAATAACTTCACAAACTCTGCTTTTAGATGCTGGATGCACTGTAAGAGCTGGTTTGTTTGAGGTTCCACTGTAGGTGGCGGATCAATTACTGTACATATGGCGCCATCTATTGGTTAAAAGTGCGAACTACAGCTATTCACTTTCTGAAAATGCATTGAACTGAGTCTTGACTACTCGCTCTATTTCTTATCTGTTCTGCATTCTAAACACTCTAATGCTGCTGAACAACACACACACACACACACTTACACACACACACACCCCACACCCGAAACAGGTGACACGTACAGATGTTAGTGGAGAGCGTTATGTGCGCTGCTTTTAAACTGCTGAAAAAAAAGATCATTAGAGCCATTAGGATTGGACGGAAGGCCAACGAGGCCATGAAGTAGTTATAATTTTCTGGACTGTGATCTCGAGAAAACAACTTTTATCGTGACATCACAAGACAAGTTGTGATATCGAGATAACAGTCTAGAAAACTATGACTACCTTATGGCCTCTCTGGACATCCGTATGATTAAAACCTGGTGGTTTTGCTTTTTCATGGGAACTGGCTAAATGGTTAATTTATTATAGACGACTAGTTTCCTGTAGGAACACCTTTAGATCCCATCAGGAAACTAGCAAATGCACCTGGAATCAGAGAACACCTGTTAAACCATTAGAATCCTTTATACTGTGATATCAACCCATCAGGAAAACACAAAATACCATTAGTGACTATTGGACACCACCAGGAACTAAAAAAACTTAATAGTTTCTATAAAGTTTTTTTAACAGGACAGTACTGATTGACAGCCACACAGTGGCGCTGTTTTTCTGCCTCAGCACTACAGAATTGAAGGGGCTGATATACTTTTTTTCTTGTTATTTCATTATTTTCCATGATGTCCACTTATGGCGTTAATGTGGAAAAACAGTCATAATTCATTTTTACATGACCTCTTTCTGACCTCTCTATTCCTCACAATCAAACAGGCTGTTTTTGTTTCTGTGCTTTTAAGATTCATATATGATAATCATCTGTTCTGTTTTGCTGCCATATAACTTTAACGTGATTGAATAGTCTAACCTGCTGTAGGCTGAATAGGCATATACACGTAAGTGCACCGGTTTTCGTGACGTCACCAACACAATGACTTCAAAACAGCCTGTTTTTGCTGCTTAGTTTAATATTTTGACTGTGTGGGAAGTAAATCGCACATTTTGAATGTTTAACAGTGTTTACATACTAACAAACATAACAAACTCTTTTATTTTATCAATGGGAGGCAAATTGTTTTTTTATGATATGGGCCCTTTAAGCAGTAGGCCATATGAGCGGTAGAGCAC